TGCTTTTTGCAGAGCAGATTGTATTCCTGGGTGGTGCAGTAAGTAAGAGTGCTGGATCTGGAATTAGGACCTGAGTTCAAATGCCAGCTCAGGCATTTACTTAGCTTTGTGACCTAAGACAAGTCACTTAACCTGTCTGCCTCAGTTTCTCATCTATAAAAGGGGGATGATGGGTCTTGTGAGGATAGAGTGAGATAATATTTGTGAAGCATTTTGCAAACTTGAAGTATTATATAAATGCTAGCTTTATCAGTAGGATATCTTAAATGAGTACTTGGGTAGTGAGAGACTGTAATACTAAAAATAGTTTTTTGTTCACTAGGGTCAGGAATGTAGATAAGACACTTACGTTTCATCCAGCTTATTAAAAAGCCTCACTTGTTTTTTAAAGTCAAATATTAAAGGACTGGATTATTCAAATTTTGCTTTATATAGACCTATTTCTTCTCTCTGTTTAAAAGACATTTCCTTGCTTGTTTCCTTTTCTTCTACCTCCTGGAGGTATGACTATTCAAATCAGTCTACTTTCTACTCTGGTTTGGATTTTTGGAATTGCTCTGGTTTTCAATTATCCAAGCCTTCCTTGTCCAAGTAAGTATAGATTGTTGAGATATGACTTTAATAATATTATTTAACCTGCATAATCTGACAGATAGTTTGATCCTAGTAACAGGTTTTTCAAATTACGTAGTGTATAAACTGCATTTCTGGGTATTTATATTGACCCTACAGATTACAAAAAAGTATAAAATTTTGTCATCTGGTGATTTGGCTTCCAGGAATATAGAGCTTTTGTTTGCCATAGGTGTTTGACAAGGGAGGACTTTGGAAGTCAGTGTTTAAATAAGTATCTTCAAATTTCTGAATATTTCCTGTAGGAATATTTTTCTTCTGTGGCTTACTATTTATTTCTGTGCCTGTTCCTTGACAAAATATGTATCTATATCCTATTTAGTTGTATTATTATTTAACTTATGCTTATAAAGTATATTGCATAAAAATTGTTACTTGCCTCTTTTAGAGCTATCAAGCACCTGTTGTTTTGTGGGAATGTAACTGCCTATTTTTTAGGGGCAGCTAGGTGGTAGGTACAGTGGATAGAGTGCCAGGCCTGAAGTCAAGCTCATCTTCCTGAGTTCAAATCCAGCCTCAGACACTTAATAGATGTATAACCCTGGGCAAGTCACTTAACCCTGTTTGCCTCAATTTCCTCATCTGTAAAATGAGATGGAAAAGGAAATGGCAAACCACTCCAGTATCAGTGCCAAGAAAATGCTAAATGGACATGACTGAAAATGACTGAACAAAAAGTGGATGGATATCCATCTATCTAAAATGGATAGAATGCTGGGCTTGGAGTCAGGAAGACTCATCTTCCTGAATTCAAATAACCCTTTTTGCCTCAGTTTCCTTATATGTAAAATTGTGATGTCTTGACTTAAGGCAGAGCTGCACAACATCGTCAGCCCCATTCTATCTTCTAGAGTCATCCAAAGTCCAGGTGCAGTGGATAATCTCAGTGACTTTGATGTTTGATTAGAAGCTGTAAGTGCTTCACAGTGGCTTCAGCCACCTTCGTGGCCTTTGGAACAAATTGTTCTCATCCACCCATCCTGCTGGGGGAAAGTCTTCACGTATTTGGAGGATACATCCCCTTGCCTCCCCTATGGGTTTGAGGTCTGTCAGTTACCTTTAATCTGGTTTAGCCCATCTGCTGAGACAGTTCTACTGGGGTGTGGCCACTGCCTACGCTACAACTTCTTAAAGCCACAGAGTTGAGTTCGAGGTAAATACCAAAAGTAGATGAACATGCCTGAAAAGGGCTTGGCAAGTCCCACCAGAGGTGCTCGTCCTCCCTGAACACCCCATACACACCATGATTATTATTATTACACCCAGTGCTTATTCCCTTTACCTTTTACTTGGTCATTTCAAACTGTGTATGCACCAGAGACATCTCAAACTCAACACGTCTAAACATGTCATTATTTTTCTCCCAAAACCTTCCCTACCTCCACACTCCTTTCACATTTGTAATCCCTCTTTTCTTCAGGCTGCAGTTCAGGCATCATCTTCTATGTGAAGCCTGTTGGGATTTCTCTCCCCTTCTACAACAGCTATTGCCCTCCCTAAACTTAACTATTTTATATTTGTTTGTATTTCATAGGATCATAGATCTACAGCTGAAATGAACTTTTTAGACCTTGTTTTTAGTGAGGAAACTGAGGCGCACCAAGATTAAATGGCTAGGGTAACAAAGCTAGTGTCTGAGACAGGATTCAAAGTCCAACACTATCTACTCTGTATCCTTCCTCCTCTCCCCAGCTGCCTTTAGTAATTGCTAATATTTCCATGACATTTTAAAGTTTTTAAAGTGCTTTTCATTTGTTGTCTCATTTGAGCCCCAGAATAAAGCTGTGAAGTAAATGCTATCATTATCCCCATTTTATAAATGAGGACTGTGGGGCTAAGAGAAAGATTAAGTGACATGCTCAGGGTCATAAAGCTAGAGTGTATCTGAGGTAGAATTTGAATTCAGGTCTTCCTGAGTCCAGTACTCTACTTATCATGCCATGCTGCTTCTCTAAGTTGTCTAATTTATTCTCTTATTAAGAAGGGCCCTCTCTTCTGCATGGCAGTCTTTTTACCTAATTAACTTACTCTCCTATTCAACACAGCCAGCCATTCTCTACCTCATTGTCATTTACACCCAAAGGTTTTGTCCTAGACTGGGGGAAGGAGCACTTGGGTTAGACCTGAGGAAAGAAAGGGAAGTCCATCAAGGAATTCCACCCCCTTACCCCCCTTCCAGTTCAGGCACAGTGAAAAATCTTTTCCCCTACTCCCACCTTCCCATGCCAGAAGGGCCAGAGCACTAAGGCCAAAGTCAAGATCAAGGACAAGGGGTGAGTCCCAAGGTACTTGCTCCCTTCTCTTCAGGGGTAGGTGGAAAGCCTAAGGAAGGGCCCACCTACCATCCTTTGCTTTTCAGGATCCAGCAGAACTTTTACTCTTGTGCTGCTTCACCTCAGGGGCCAGACACCTCAGTAAAAAGTACCAAAGCAGCCCAGATGGCTTTGTACAAATGTCCCATTTCTGGGACAGGGACGAGTTCTTCCTGACTTACGAAGCCTTGATGACACAAATCTTTTGGGAGAGCAGGTTGGAAACTCTGATCCTGTGATGCTGAGTCTATGGCCCTGGTCCTTGCCATGATAGACTCTGCATACCTGAAACCAGACCTTCTAGGATGTCGTCTGAAAAACACCAGAACATTTACCTTCTGGCCATGCCCAGGTCTGATATAGAGAGGTGCCTCTTCTGCTTCTGTGTGGCCTCTACTTACATTTGGCCTTTATTCACATTTCCTAGCCCGGGTACTGTCAGAGCCCTGGCATCTCTCCACCAGCCAGATAGTCCAGTTTGAAATCCACATGTTTGACATAGAGAAGTATCCTAACTACTTGGCAGTCCTTCTGGACATCACTGTTGTATTTGAGATTCCTACCCCTAAACTAGAGGTCTGGAGAAGGTGACCTACTGCCCTTCCCTTTGCTCCTGTTCCCAGAGGCAGGAAGAGAGGAGCCTATGGTTGCTTCCAGGGATAGGTGGGTGGCCTGAACCTTGGAGAGCAAAGTCCTTCCATCCACCTGGCCAGATGCTCTTACTTGATGGTTGAGGCACAGGAAATGAGGTTTCTAGAGTTGGGAACAGAACTTCCTTCAGCAGGCCCATGGTTCACTACCCAGGAACAAGAAGACAGATCCATTCTGAGCCAGAGGAGAGGCCCACTGACTGCTAGGCTCAGCCGCCCTCAGCAGCTCCTTAGGACCTGAAAGTCAAATGGCCAGGGGCCAAGATTAAGGTAAAAGCATAAGCTTCCAGGCTTGTTATTACCTTCCCCTAGTGGCAGATGCATAACCCAATGAGGAGTCCTAGAGGCCAGACTCAGCACCAGCTGGAGTAGGGTGAGAAGACCAAGGCCAAGGCTTAGGTAGAGCCCCTAGGCTCTTGTTCCCTTTCTCCAGGGGCAGATTAAGAGCCCTAAGAGGGGCCTAAGTGAAAGACTTTCATTTCCTTAGTTGCCTAAATGCTAGAGGGCCCAGGGCACAGGACCCAGAAGCAGGTAGAACTGCTGGGTTCTTGCTCCCTTCCCCCAGGCGGCTCAGGGCCAAGATGTCAAGGCCTGAGCTAAGATGAGGGTCAACTTTAAGGCTAAGGATGACTCTCAAGGTTCCTACTCCTTTCCCTTAGGGGCATGTCTGAAGGCCTAGGCACAGTCACTGAAGCTGCAGAGGGGCTTGAGGGTAGAGCTCTTTTTCTGTTTTCCTTGTTTCCTTCAGTAGAATGTAACTTCCTCAATAATTGGGACATTCTCATTTTTGTGTTTGTATATCCAGAATTTACTGGCACAGATATATACATGCTGATTAATTGCTTATGTAGCATTTAAAAATATTGTTGGTTAATGACTATTATGGAAATATATTTTACATTATTGCACATATATAACCTATATCAAATTGTTTGCCTTCTTAGGGAGAGAGGAGGTGGAGGAAAGGAAAAAATTTAGAACTCAAGATTTAAAAAAAAAAGAATATTAAAAATTATCTTTATATGTAATTGGGAAAAAATAAAATATCATTAAAATAATATTGTTGGTCAGAGCTCCTTTGCCTCCAAAGAATATCTGTTAGTGGGTGATAGACAGTATTATCTATAAGTGATTGAAAGAATATGTTTGAACTAAGATAATGTCATATCTTCTCCCAGTAGCTTCTCATTTGTCTAATATAGTCTTAAATGTATCTTTGAAATAGAGATGGTAACCTTACGTGATTGCCTTGGAAAAGTGACTCATTCCATTATATTCTGTACTAGTATAATGTAGTTTGGGTGGTAAACAAATGATTGCACATTGTCACAATGAAGAATATCATTCAGACACTCAGAAGTGCACCTTACTAGAATGGTTAATGTCATCTTTTTGTCTTTTAAAGGCACAGTTGGTGGATCTGAAATCTGAACTGACAGAGACCCAAGCTGAAAAAGTAGTATTAGAAAAAGAAGTTCATGATCAACTTTTACAGCTGCACTCCGTTCAGCTTCAGCTGCATGCCAAAACTGGCCAGAGTGTTGACTCTGGTACCATTAAGGCAAAACTGGTAAGTAGCTGAAAAAAGGGTTGTTTTAGATCAAGGTAGAGAGCTATTTTTTATGAAAGCGATGTATGAGTTTTTATATATTTAAGTCAATACAACAGGATTATTCTTGTGAGTTTTATTATTGATTTTTACTCAAATTCCAGTCCATGTTTTCCTGAATTTATTGATAAGGGTAAGAAGTTTGATATAGATTTTTGAAGAAGAAAAAAAAGGATGACATAGCCTCTGCTTTTGAACCCATGTTTTAATAGTGAGTTTCTTCTGACCTCTTCTCCTTTTTTCTTGTTTTCTCCTTTTATTGAGAATTTATCTCTTAAGTTGGTAGAATTATGGAATTTTAGAAGCAAGGGACCTTCAGGTTACTCTTGGATACTTTACAGTGTTTTATTCACAGTTCTGTGAGTTAAGAAGCACAAGTATTATTGCCTACATTTTACAGATGAGGAAACTGAGGCCCAGGAAAAATAACTGAAATTTAGATAGCACTTTAAAGCTTATGAAGCATCCATTATAGACCGTTGCCCACAGTCACATAACTAGTAAAGAATCTGAAGAGGTACTTGAACCCAGATCTTCTAAGTCTAAACCCATTGTTTCTTCCATTGCCTTTCTACCCCTTATTTTATTGATAAGGAAGCTGAAGCCTGAAGAGGTTTAGGTAACTTGTCCACAGTCACAGTTAGCAGTGGAGTTAAAACTGCAATTTAGATCTTTTGTCAGGTTCTTTTTCCCTTTGTACCAAACTGTAGTGCAGAGCCCTTCTCTCTAGTGTCTCAGAATTGCTGTCACTAAAATCGCTAGACCTGAGAACATTATTGCACTTGTGCCTTTCCCCAAATGCCATGGAATATCTAGACCATGGAACTCCCAAACAGAGACTTAACCCTACAAGTTGCCCATTTGGAATCTGACTGCCTGTTTTAGAGATGTGTTATATGTTAGGTACTCAGTAAATAAATGTTGAATGAATGAATGAAGTGAATGAAACATTTAGGCTACCTTTAGATTGACTATGCCAGAGCAACAGTTGAAACAATTGCTGAAGTTCTTTTCTCCCTCTTGAATATGAACTAATTAGTTCTCCTTTTAAAATGTTTGGTTTTTAATTTTTTGTTAATACATCAAACCTTTACTTTTTTTTTTACTATTATAAGAAACTAAATGAATATACAGAACTCTTCACAGTAGTATTATGATGTAATTTGTGTTATCTTAAAATCTCAAAGTACTTCAGACATTAATTTTTGTAACAGATTTCTGAATATGAAAAAAAATCCTTGAGATAAGTAATTTTAAAAACATTTATTGCAGGTCAAATTATGTTGCAACTAGAAACATAGAATTTTAAAGCTAGAATGGACCATAAAGATCATCTTACATATCTTCTTCATTTTACAAATGTTAAGCTTGAAATCCTGACAGGTCAGGAGACTTGCTGGTAATTAGCTTAATAGTGTTAGAGCTGATAAGTGAATAAATGTAAGTTGAGTACTCTTTGCTTTTTCTATAGTACTACACTGCCTGTATAGGGAAAATATAATATATTCATTGTATTGGAATTTATTTGTAATAAGGAAAGAAGTCCAGATGTGTGCAGGGTAGTCAGGTGGAAGGTCAGCTCCTCCCTCTGCCACTTAGTAGCTCTCTCTGATCTGGGCAGATTGCTTCACCTTGATTTCCTCATCTTTAAAATGCTAGGATTGGATTACATAGTTTTCATTCTGACATTCTATGAAGCTAAAGAATTTGCCTAAAGTAATTTCCTTGCATAGTGGGGTTGGGAGAGCGAGCTTCGCAGCCTCCCTGTCTCAGTCAAAGTTAGGAGGAACCAGCAGTAAAGTGCTGTACACATAACAAAGGATCAGTAAATACTGTTGACAGTAAGCAGGCCCAGGACCGAAAACATTTGAAAATGATAGCTTTGATCATTTACCTTATTAGCCATGTCTGAGTTTTTCTATAGATTGTATATTATGCTGATAAGTTTCTTTTACTCTGTCCTTGTGGTAGAGTGTAAGCATACTCTATCATCATGTATTTTGTTGTTTTTTTTTTTAGTGGTGGGGAGTTGGGAGATTGAGAAAGGGAAGGAAAATTCAGAAACAGCTATTGTAACTGAATTAGTCAAATTGTTATTATGGACTTAAAAGTAAATTTTTACAGTTCTGTTTGTTGTAGAAGGTTTTGCTTTACAGTCATGATTTTTACCACTTAATTCATCTGTTTACTCATTTGTGTTTCTAACTAAAAAACTTTCTTCTTATATCTTAAGTCTGTCCCCTCTGTGGAAGAACTGGTAAGTATGACATTTCCCCATCTCATTTACTAGTGTGAGTTCTGTAGTGTGTGTGTGTGTGTGTGTGTGTGTGTGTTTATACTAAATTGATATACTTTGTGTTTTAAAATTTTACTGATGGGTTATGTATGAAAATTTTTTGAAAGGTCAGTAGGTGATCCCATAGTCTTTTCTATGACACTTCCTGCTGTTTTCTGACCATAGTTAGCCTCAGCAGAATTTTTCACTATTTGTGATTTAGCCACTGAAAGCTACCTAAAGTTTGCTTTTCCTCTGAAAGAGCTGCCTCTTTCCCCATCTTGTGGGAGATGCTTTGCCAGGCCTTATGGAGAGACAAAGATGAATAAGACTAAGTTTCTACCCTTCATGGAGTTTTGTTTGGTAAGTCTAAGTTAGGGAAGTCTTGAGCACAAATTATTATAATGCAATTAAAAATGTGGTAAGTGCTTGAGAAAGATAGAAACAAAGTTCTCTTTGAGATCCTGGTTGGGAGATTACTTAAAACTGAGGCCATTTTATCCCACTTTCTTCAGTATATCATTATTGAAATTTCTATAACTATAATTTTGACCCCAAGAATATGCATGACTTTGCTTGTTATATCACTGCATGTAAGTTGTAGCAACTTTTCAGAAGTCTTTAAAATGATTACTTAATCTTTTAGAAAACTGATTTGAAATTTTCTTTTGAAAGTAATAAGATATAAATTTAGTACTGTTGCCCTCTAGTCTTCCTGCCTTCTACTCCCTTACCCCCTTTATCTGACCAGTTTCATAGCTTTCCTGAAATGTTCTTTCTTTAAAAAAAATTATGTTACATCTAATTAGAATTTACGTGTAGACAGTACCTTTTGTTTATTACCTAATAATAGGATAACCTAGGTTGTATGACCTGTTTCTTATTTAAAAAAATGTTACTTTTAAGTGCTTTTCTTCCTTTTATGAGTTCATTTGTAGCATGACATTTTAAAAAAAATAAATTTTTATTAATATCTTTGCTTTTATATTGCCTAAATTTCCCTGTCTCGACTTCCTCTTGCCCTCTCTCTTGTCCCAGAGAGCCATCCCCATAACAATTTTTTTAAGAAAAATAGAAGAAAAAAAAAAAAGAAAATCATCAGAACTGACCAATACATCAAAAAATTTGATAATATATGCAGTGTTCCATACTCATGGTTTTCCCTCCGCATTACATCTCTGCAAAGGAGCATGGGAATGTATATGCTACAAGTTTTTTTTCCAGATTGTTAGCTTATTAAATTCAATACAATACTTATTCAGTTCTTAGTGTATATATACATATATATATATATATATATATATATATATATATATATATAAGACACTCTTCTAGGTGCTGGAGATACAAAGTTGATATAGTCTCTGCCTACAAGGGACATGCAGCCTCATGGGGGGGAGTATAAAATACACACACACACACACATATGATACACACTAAATTGTGATAAAGTCAAAGGAAAGCCAGACAAAATGGTGTGAAAAATTTGAAAAGGACATCATCACCATCACTTGGGGATTAGAGAGAATCAGAAAGGTTTGTTATATGGGGGATTTGTACCGTTTGAGCTGGGCGTTGAAGGAAGGGATAGATTTCAGCAAACAGATTAGAGAATGTCTATTCCAAGAGTTTATATATTTAATATAAATTTCAGATAGTGAATTATTATGTAATTGTATTGTGTCCTTAGCAAGTAAATTAAAAAAATACACACACACACACACACACACACACACACACACACATACACAAGTTTTATCTTCTTGGACTCTCAAAATCAGAAAACATCAATGTGGACACGTTTCATTAAAAAAATTTTTTTCTAGCTTTTAAAAAAAAAATTAAGTTTTCTCTTTAAAAATGGTTTTGGGTTTGGATTAGGTTTCACCTTCCAAAAGGTAAAAGTACCTAGAGAAACATGTAATTTGAGAGGAGTGGTTGAGGGAGGTAGGGATAGGTAGGCATGAGGGAAAAAAAAAGTCACCATTGAGTAGGCTGTGGGGACCAAGGGTCCTTCACCTTCAAGGCAAGAAATGAAGAAAAATATTAAGAATCTTTGTCAGGAATTAGTGAGAGTGGCACTAAATCACATATAGCTGTTCCTAAATCTAGTCATATGTCTTTTTCAAAATAGTATTTAGAATTGTGTCTTTAAACAATTTGTTTAGTTTTGATTTACTTTTTATAAGTGTGTGTGTGTGTGTGTGTGTGTAGAGGGCAGAGGATTTGCAATGGTTTGTCTGCCCCATACACACTTGAAGCCTGACTCTTGCACCTAGTGTAGTGATTGGCTTGCCTGTATTCAGGTTGCAAAATACAGGTTATCTGAAAATTGTGTGAATTTCCTCTGCTTGGATATACCCCCCCCTCCCCCCAGGCAGCTGTAATCTTTTTGATTTTTTGCTAAATCCTAGGAAATTACTTGAGGCAAAAGTTGAATGACTTTTCTAGGGTCACTCAGCTAGTAAATGTAACACATAGAATATGCAACTGCAAGCTATGTTAGGTACAACATAATACTCAAGGAAAATTTTGTTTTCTGAGCATTGAACTTATAAACATGTAGGATATATAAGTACATAGAAAATTCTACTACCACCTGAGATAATATGGAAGCAAGATGAGGCATATGGATAAAATTCATATTTAAATTCTATTGAACTTTTAAAAACACATTTTTGGATATATTTTACCTTAAGGAAACATTTTTCTAAATGTAAACTCTGGAAATTGATGGAGTCAGGGGATGGAGAATCTGCGGCCTCGAGGACCTTTGAATCCAAACTTTGCAGAACAAATCCCCTTAATAAAAGGATGTCTTCTGTGAAACTTGAACTCAGTCAAAAGGCCTCACCCGAGCACCTAGAAGGCCACATGTGGCCTTAAGTTTGCAGGTTCCCCACCCATATACTACAGCCAACGTGGACAGAAAGGGGAAGTAGTAATTGAGGAAAGGAAATAGGTAAACAGATTACTAGTCTTACATAAAGATATTAATTAGTGTTGATGGGGGGCTTCAATCTGGAAATCTGTTGGATCTCCCTGCCAAAAGCAGAGAAGCTGATGATTTCTTGACTTGCCTTAATGATGTTATCTTATCCTTCAGTTGATGGAAATTTCATTCTGTTTCTAATTCTCATCAATGAAGAGAAATTGATTTTCTTAGGATGGAAATGATGGAAAATTGGTAGAAATTGACCATTCTGTCTTAGAGTTGGTGATTGCAAAGGAAAGGAAAGCTGGGAATAGTCTGCTTTGTGCTCTAGAGTTTATGAGATCTCAGAAAGTTCAGAAAACTGGTAGGTCGTAATTCTTTAGGGAAAGTTAGCCCAGGAGGGATATGAGACTTCAGAATAAAATAGGGAAGACAAGAGAAACCAATACAATAAGGAAGAAAAGGCAAGTTGTTTAAAGACAATAGTGTAGATACATGGGAAACTTACCAATCACTGCATATTTTTTAAAGACTTACATAAAAGATGGAAGCAAGGGCATGTTACATACAGATGATGTCCTTTTTTTTTTTTAAATGGCATAAACCTGTAAGGAGTGCTAGAAGTTCAAAATGAATTGAGATCAGTGAGAAAAATTAAGGAGAACAAAAAGGATTATAGATATATACCTAGAAGGGACCTCTGGGGTCATCTAGGCCAACCCTGTTGTTTTACAGGTGAAGAACTGGACCCTTAGGAATTTAAAAGATCTAATCAAGGTCTTGAATAGTGGAAATCAGAGGCTTGTTTTGAACTGATTATCTTTAGACTTCAAAACCGGTATTATTTCCACTATGTCACAAAAGGTTGATTTGTTTTACTTTATATTAAGGAAAAAAAGATTTGAAACTGGATGGGACTAAGGATGAATGGAGGCAATAATAATTGCCTACAGAGAGAAGACTGAGTTGCTCAACTCTTATTTTGCTTTTGTCTTTTTGTTCAAGGAAAATAATCTTTAGACTGAAAAGGAAAAAAGAAAAATGGCTAATAGGGAGTTGATAGAAAAGAGTAGTGGTAGTAAGACAGTACTCGGCTGCCCTTGATAAATTCAAGTCAGCAGACACCAGTGAGCTACATCACAGGATACTTAAACATTTGGCCAGTAATAGAATGATAGAGATATAACAGAATTGGAGAAGAGCAAGTGTCCCAATTTTTTTTTGTTTTGTTTTGTTTTTAATGGAAGAAAGTCAGCAAACCATAGGCCATGAACTTGACTTCATCCTAGTAATCATCTGGAAAAATGGTGTGGGAGGGGAGGGTTTGAGTCAGGCTGTGAAGGACTTTATTTTTTTTTTAATTAAAATCTTTTGTTTTCATATTACCTTCATTTCTAAATATGTCCCTCCCTTCCCTAGAGAGTGATTCCTTGTAAGATAGAATAAAAAAGAAAGAGATAGGGAAGGAAAGTAGTTCAGCAGAACTAACAACACATCAACTAAGTCTGATGGTATATGCATTGTAGAACACATTATTAAAGGAGTGGTTCATACTTGCCTAGAAAATGGTGGTAACAAAGAGCCAGCATGACTTCATAAAGAGTGAGTCATGCCCCACTAACCCTGTTTCCTTTTTTGGCACTAATTCTGGTAACCAGGGAAATACTATAACATAGGCTGTCTAAATTTTAGTAGAATATTTAATAATGTCTTTATTCTTACTCTTGTAGTCAAGATGGAGAGTTGTGGGCTAGGTAATAGTATACTTAGGTGGATTTGGAACTAGTTGAATGGCAGAACTCCAAGAGTAGTCATTTACTAACGTCGTTCAATATCAACTTGAAAGGAGATATTTTAGTAAATGTCCCAGAAATCTATGTTTGATCTTGTGCTATTTGCCATTTTTATCATTGAGTTAGATAAAAGTATAGAAAGTATGCTTATCAAATTTTCAGATGACACAAATCTGAGAAGGATAACTCATGAGATTAAAGACCCTATATTCAAAGATATCTTGAAAGGCTAGAACATAAAAATGAATTAAGAG